ATCTACCGCTACTCTTTTACTAGAGTTTGTATACTATAACCTGTCTATTAATTCACTTTTTCCAGTTACTTTTAAATTACGCATGCAAGCCAACGTTTTAATGTTACAACAATGTTATCCTTTACAGTTGCAAATTTTAGTTTAGGTCCAGGAACATTTTCTTCTGTTAAAAACATTCTTTTTTGATTGTACTTCACCATATGTTTATATGGGGTTTAGGCAGTGTTTGTCCCTACGGAACTACTAGCGCTGCTAGTGAGTGAGGTTCATTGAAGATTATCATCTTTTTTTTATTTGTGGTATAAACTTCACCAGTTGTGAAAGAGCAGGTAAAAAATTTACAACTCAGTAAATTATCGGCCCTGAAGAAGCTTACCATTAGAAGCGAAAGCTTGGCAAAGTAGAGCAGAATTTTGATTTTTGATTTTTCATTATCATTCAGATGATACTGGGATATGTTTTTGTAGCTCTATATCTCAATAAATATTTATTCTACTGTGTCGTGGTGTATACTGATCGATAGAGAATTTAGTACTCTATAAATTGATGCTGTCAATTTCTTTTTCCAAATTTTAACTCTGCCTCTTTTCAGCTTATTACTGTATGATGTCGTTGAACGATTTTAGGCGAATTTCTCTCTACGAATTCAAATTGAATCGAAGCGCTGCCGAAATAGACCGAAAAATTAACCAGGCATTTGGTAATGATATGAATGAATCAAATCAATGATAGTAATGAAGAACTCACTGTTCGACGTTGGTTTGCGACATTTCGCTCGGGATATTTTAGACTAGAAGATGTCAGGGTCGACCTACAGTAATCCAGGACGAGGATTTGAGGACCCTGTTGGAGACTGACCCATCACAAACGGTGCGTGAGGTGGCGGAAAACCTGGGCATCAGCTCCCATGCGGTTTTTGATGGTTGGTGCTCCACGATTTGAACGATCAACAGAAATTGTCACGTCTCGAGTTCTTGCGAAACCGATCCATTTTTACATCGTTTCGTCACGTTTAATGAAAACTGGATCCTCTACGATAACAATGTCCACAATATCGAAAGTCTCAAATTTTCAAATATCAACGACAAAAAAGGTCGCGAAGCTGAGGTTTTTGTAATAAGCAGGAGACTTACTCAGATTATAAATGAGCCTACCAGGATTCCTGACGGTGATGGAAAATATGCTAGTCTTCTAGATCTATACCTAACAACCAATCCAGAATTTTACACAGCCACCGTAAGGTCTCCATTGGGATCTCCTGACCACAAACTCATTTCAGTGTTGAGTGAATTACCAATAATTGTTGGCAAACTATGGTTCAACAGAAATTGCGAGCAATGCTCCCAACAGGTCTAGATACTTCTGATCGGTAGCTAAAGCTGTTAATCAAAACTAGTTGTTTTTATTAAACTCCAATATTTGAAGTGTATTTTCTTTCTTTTTGGAAGATAAGTTCATTTTGATTATTTCTTATATCACGCATGTTTCTGAATGTTATTGAACTGTAATATTAATCAAAATTTTCCGTGTCAGCTCATAACAATTACAAAGACTCATAAAAATTCCATTATTTGTTTTCCCTTGATCTTGTTCAGTGGTGGAACCAGGAAGATCTTCAGGAGGGACATGATCAAGAAAAATGAATGTGAATATATTTTATGTGAAAAAATGTTGTGATCTTTAAACGTGCATAGAAATGTGATGAAGATTATGACTTATCGTAGAGAAAAGTGAAAAAATAATGTTTCCCAATATATTCACGTCACATGCATATTCTCTATTGAAGTATTAGTGAGATGAAATAACGTTTTTCATTCAGAAATTTTCTAAATGTTTTGAGAACACATCTATTTTCAAACGAGTCGCGGTTGGAAAGACTGCTGATGCAATGAGGGGGGCATGGACAAAATTAAAAAACATCTCTTGGGATAGAATAAACAATTTCATTGAAAGAAATTACTATTTGATTAGGTATCCCGGCACCTGGTATACAGTGTCATCCCCAAAGCATGCACCATATGGGAAACTTATTTATTAAGGGTTTTTTGACAAAATTCTACTCTTGATGAAAGTTTGTGCATCATCTAGAACTGAACATGCACCAAAAATACAGTAAAACACACGTAATTTACGAGGAGCCTCCAAATATTTGATTTTGAGACAAGAGTAAAGTACTTTTATTTTGAAAAATCTCGGAAAATGTTAATTGAAAAAGTTGTTCAGCATTTAAAAATACATCTTGATTTGTTAAAGTGGGGACTACGAAAAATCCGTCGTATACAGGATGCCATTTATCTTTGAGCAAATTTTCATTTTTCGTAGTCCTATTTAAAGAAAAATTGATAAGAAAATTAAACTTCACTCAGATGGCCATGACTTCAAATCTAGATATAGTGTTTAATGCTGAAAAACTTTTCTAAAGAACATTTTACGAGATTTTTCAAAATAAAAGTACTTTAATCTTGTCTCAAAATCAAATATTTGAAGAATCCTCGTAAATTACGTGTGTTTTACTGTATTTCGTTGGTGCATGTTCAGTTTTAGGGGATGCACAAACTTTTATCAAGAATAACTTTTTGTTGAAAAATAAGTTTCCCATACTTTTTCCCATACCATAAGTGCATACTTGGGGATGACACTGCATATTCAATCTATTCCTTTCCGCCAGTTTCCTCAGCTATAATAATAATAATAATAACTTCAGCCCACTCACTTGAATCCGTTGTGAGGAACGATAAGTTCTTAATTAATTGGAACCATTCGTTCCCAACCACTGCGCTTATTCAGGTCACATGATTCTCGGACCCAATGATCACTTACTTACAGTACGGGGAGTGGTCGTTGGTTGATAATGCTGGCACGCCTTCCTGAATGTTTCGGGTCTTCGGGGGATAGGGCCTGACCAGCGGAAACTTGTGGTAAAAAATGTATACGTCTTTATCCACCATATAAAGTACAAATAAAACAGACTAAAAGAAGAAAAAAAACAACTTTCAGTATAAAGATGAATAGGCGGAGTATCAGCCAAGGCTGGGAATAGCAATAGCTGAATAACAATAACAATAAGAGGCGAGTTAACAGTGATACTGTAATGACAAGATCAGGAAATTAGTTAATGCAACCGCTGCAGAAAATTCCTTTTTGTATTACCAAGGTCGGGAACGGACAAGAGACTAGACAGTTGAGTAAGTCTTCAGTCTTTTTTTGAAGTACCTATGAGATCGAAACTCTCAGGGTTTTTTCAAGGACAAAACACAAGCAATACAGGAACATCCTTAGAGTGCTCTCAGAGCGGTGCCTGTGCGAAAGTAGCGCTGGAGATTAAATCTATTTGGAAAAACGTTCTCAGGAAGTTGGTTATTATCAGGCAGTTGATTATGATATTAGGGTGCATTATACGAGACGGATTGGGTGAAGATGGAAGATTTGTTTCTGGGGATGAAAAAAACTGAATTGTTTCTTGTGGTGAAACTATTGGAAATGTTTGAAGCTTCTTCAGTAAATAATCAGGTTGACGGGATATCACAACTTTATGTGTGTTGGTGAATAGATGCAATGTTCTAACTTTCTCAACTTTCAACCATCCTAATTCTTGTTGAAGAACATCCGAGTGACTTGAAGCAGATTCATAAATACTGTCGCAATAAGAAATTTTTGACCAGTTGATAAGTTACTCGCATAGTCTAAGTTTTGAGTTTGTGTTAACAAATCACGATTTGGAAAAAGCTGCCTGAGAACTTTATAAGAAGTTTGATTTTTTATCATTTTCGATGCGGAGTTGAAAAGTGAAGTTGGTGAGCTCTCTGTTCTTCTCAAGTCCAGAAATCATTATTGCAGATTCATTAGAATAGAGCTTGAGCTTATGGGCTGTAGAAATGTCAAAGATGGCTTGAAGATCGTTATTAATTTATGACTGAGCAGATGTAGAATCACCAGGCAGAGAAATATAACTGCGTGTCATCTGCATAGTGATGTATATTGCAATTTTTTACAAACAGATAAAAATCACAGATATACAAGATGACAAGCACGGGCCCAAGAATAGATCCTTGTGACACTCCCTTTGATGCCAGTGGAATATTCGATACAACTCCATCCACGACAACTCTTTCAGTACGATTCTTCAGATAGTTTCCTGAGAGTGATGTTGCTTTTCGAGAAAACCAAAGTAGACAAGTTTGTCACACAATATTTCTTCCATACCTATGGAACTTACAACTTCTCTAAGGTTATCGAAACGACTGACACAGTGACCTAAAAAAGTACAATACAAACAAAATTCTTTAGTCTGATAACCAAAAAATGTGTTATTATATAGTTGAAATTTTCCAGTTATATTGGATGGAGATATTGTTAAGATCGTCTTCATTACGACATTCGACAATTAGGTTTAATTTTCTTTCAGTAACACCGTCCATCTCATATCTCGATTTTATTTCCGCATAGAAACTGATATCTTCGTTTCGTTAAGAAATGTTTATAAAAACTGATAAGTCCGTATAAAACATTTATGCTAATAACAATTCTCAACAAATGGTTAGTAAATTTGGTGGTTATTTGTGTATTCCTGTTTCAACTAATCCCATGTAAAAATGAATTACGGCAGTTTGGATAGTGGTAACACAAAAAATGAAAAGGTAAGCGAATCCTCATTATACAATGTGTGCAAGATAAGATGGTAATTATCGGAAACCGTAAGAGAAAGGTACAAAATCGTTTAAATTAAGAAAAAGTTGCTAACTTAAGAAATTCGAATTATGTGTGATAGGTACGTTAGTGAAGTTGTCACTAAAAATCCGTATCCATATAAAAAAATTGGTGGTAGTTTCTAGGGAACGAAACGTATAATCAAAAGTCTGTTGAATTCATCTTGTATAACTTCGAGAGTAGTTATTATAAAGTGATCAGTAACGATTTATTTTCCCAAGAAACATACAATGTTTAAAGCATTCGGTATCTCATTGTAAAACTTGATACCTTTATAATAAATCGAATTTTTGGCACTTTTTGTGTTCATTTTCATCAATTTTAGATTGCCTGAATATCTTATAAAATGGTTGGCTTGGTCACCATTGATTTCGAAAGTTAGATTTGAATGTTTGAGTTCATTTTTAACCAAATGAATGAAAGAACATAATTTTAATTCACTTAGAGATGACAATTCAAATAGTTTTTTTTGTTAATACAAGTTGATTGTAGGCTCCTTGTAGTTCAACTTGAATATACACCTCATAATTTTGTTGTGAAGTTTTTTAATAAGTTTTAATAAGGAATTTGTTGCCATTCTCCATACTAATATATTATATTGAATTTCGGAATTCACTAATGAAAAATGAATCAATTTAATGTATTTTAGTGGTACAACATTTGGTTTTTTTGAATATAATTCCGATTATAAGAGCTACTTTTCGTCTTATCGTTTCAGAATAAAACCAATAAAATTAGGACTAGAAGAGTAAATGATTAGAAAAATTCGTATCTTTCTCTTACAGTTTCCGATATTCTCATGCTGGCTCTCCCCCTTCGCATATCTCCCACCCTTCGAACCAATCACAAATTCACGAGACTCATAACTCACTATCTCGAGGCCAATCATAGATGAGCAAATTCATAACTTTATAGTTGTTTTTCAATTATTTTCTAATTTTAGACTTAATCTATGATCTGACAGTTGTGCGTATTGCAAAACATTAATATTTTTTAAAAATTCGTCACTCAATATTTGAATGAAACAACAAAATTGGAAAATGTTACTTTGGTTCGGAATATTCCTTTTACAAGTCATACTATTCTTCTCGCGAAAAATGACCATTATAGTCCTGTTAATTTAACGATTAACCTCGGAATGAGAGGTAATGAGCTAAATATTCATATATACCTCTATCATGGCGTTCTGAAATCTTTCTTGAAAGTCTCATATAATCTCGTGTCTGTATCGGAAGTTATATGAGGTCAAAGGTAAAAAATACAGTTTTCCGAGGCTATCTCAGTTTCTATTGCTCCAATGATGTTAACATTTATTATAAAAATTGTAAAGCATAAAATTTAGGATAAATTTCATTTGAACCTTTTTTTAATGCGTTCGATCCTTTTTGAGATAGAGGGCGGTAAACGCGCAGCGCTCTGCTGTGCGTACTGTAATCCAAGGTCAACTGTGAATATTTGTGAATATTACCCTCAATTTTGAATAATTTGTATTATTTAACAGTTGATATATTATATTCGACAACATTTTACAATTCACATATATCAATTTAATAATACTTACCTACTTTGTGTAATTAAAAACTCATTATGAAATAATTATTGTACATTTTGATGTATTGAAAATACATTTGAAATATAAAAATAATCAAGTATTTTATCTTTAAAAGGTATACATTTCTACATACATGTTAGATAATATATTATACTCATCACATTATTATATATCTTACATTTATATTAATTTATTCAAAGGAAATTTTAAGGAAGTAAAGTGAGTCAATATATTTTGATTGCATCTTTATTCAACAGCTTTAAATGTTTGACAATTAAAATGAAATTTTCGTGAAAATCTTTAAATTTTTAATAATGTAAAAAAAGTATTAGTTTTCTGCTTCTTCATCTTCTGGACGTTCAGGAATTTCTGTTTCATCGTCATCATCTTCGTTGTCCTGAATCGTTGTTTCTAGACCTTCCAGAATTTCAGGGTCAAATGCACTCTCTTCTTCACTGTCACTTTGCAATGATACAGCATTGAAGCAAGCTTGCCCATTACACTGACCACAAGCTAAAGTGCATTGCAACCCCGATTTTCTACATCCGCACCGTGGACCACATCCATTTTTACAATTACAAAATAAAGTATTAAGTAATTCATCGGGAGCTGGTGGTGATATTGTTGTCATTGGCTCTAGAAATTTATTTTGAAGAATTCAACCCCATTCCAGGGGTTCCAAAGCATGCCCTAACCATTTTTGAACTTGCAATCAAGTCATACTCACACAGTAAACGATCTTTGACAGATTCTCCTAAGGAATCCTTTCGTTCTTCTGCCTTTTTCATGACATTGTCTTTAAATTGTAGAGTACTAACGTTACTAATCGTACGTCGGTACTTTTCATTTTTTCTTGACTCTGCTGCTGCATCAGCTGTTTGGCCACAAAATAAGCACATTTTTTTGAAATCAAACACTTTATGTCTTTTTTTACGAGGTAAACTGGGTGATGTTAAATGTTAATCTTCCAAGCGTCGCTTCGATGCCGCTATAGAATTTTTACTGATATACACTTTTCGACACCCAATATGCACATTGACAGAAGTTAAAGTGTTTAAGAAGTTTATGTGACCGTCATTTCTCTCGGTACTAGCAGTTTTTAAACTTTTCAAGCCGCGTACTACATTAAGACAATCACCTTCTGAAAGTGGCTTCTCACAAATTAAACACAAATCAGCCATAATTTTAAAAATTAATGAAGAAGTATTTAAAAACTTTTATATTTTAAATGTATTTTCAATACATTAAAATATACAATAGTTATTTCATAATGAGTTTTTAATTACACAATATTGTTAAATATAATGTATTAACTGATAAATAATACAAATTATTCAAAATTGAAGGTAATATTCACAGATATACAAAAATGTTGTTAAATATAATATATTAACTGATAAATAATACAAATTATTCAAAATTGAGGGTAATATTCACAGATATTCACAGTTGACCTTGGATTACAGTACGCACGGCAGAGCGCTGCACGTTTACCGCTCTCTATCTCAAAAACGATTGAGCGCATGAAAAAAAGGTTCAAATAAAATTTATCCTAAATGTATTTTACAATTTTTATAATAGATGTTAACATCTTTGGAACAATATAAACTGAGATAACCGCGAAAAACCTTTTTTTTTACCTTTGACTCCGTATAACTTCCGGTACAGACATGAGATTATATGATACTTCTGAGACAGCTTTTAGAACGCCATAATGAAGGTATATACAAATATTTAGTTTATCACCTCTCATTCCTAGGTTAACCCTTTTTTTATGCTAAAGTGACTGGTCTGTTACTCGAATGATTGATTTACGATAATCCTTATCCTCACAAGTAACTGTCATGCTTTTGCTCTATTATCATTTGTGGGAAGATCAAAATGTACAATTTTTTAGCTTAATATTTCTTCAATGGTTATCTGTGAACTTAAAACAAATTCATTATTTCGCAAACTATGGACTTTTGTCAAAAGTTCCGAAATAGGTCAATTTGTGTAAGTTTATATAAGTTTGAGATAAACAAGAGACGTAATCATGATATATTTGCAATAAAAGTTGTGTATTGGGCTTTTCAAATCATTCCTCTATATACAGGATGTTTATTAAACATGCGGCAAAAATTTAAGCGACTATTCCTTGGACTATTCTAAGGATATTTTGTCCTTTATTGATTTTTAATCAATTTTATTTCGAAGATTTATTGTTATTGTTAATTGTTACATGTAATGTTTCTCAGTCTACAAGAACTGTTGAAAATAACAACCCCCGCTCGAATGCAAGAATCCAATCTTCCTCTTGAAGATAAGCACTTGGTGAATCGAAATACGTGTCGAGGTGTTAAAATAACGGTTTGGTGTTGGGGTAGAACCCCAGTAATATTCATTGCTACACCAAAGGTTTCAAACAGTGCATCACAAGTTCCTAAAAAGGGGTTAACGTGTTTTCATTCTGGCATGGAAAGTTTTTTCATCGGATTCATTTTACGCCAGCCATTCCTATTCCTCCTATCATAAGTAATTCAAAAATACCCATAAATCCCCATAAAGAATCTTTATCATAATTCCGGTGACGTTTTACCAATAATTCCGAATTTTCATCGAATTTTCGAAAGTTTACTGATGTTCTTCATTCAGGAGGTGTAGCCGCTTGGTCTGGCGTCCATCTTTGCGTCAATTGACCGTCAGGTGAAACGGTGGTTCGAGTCTCGAGCCGGAAGATCGATTTTCACTGCCTATCTTCCAACCCGTGCTAGGAATCGCACGTTGAAAGGAAGGACCTCGTCATTCGTAGGGGGCGGCAGCTGGAAAAAATATTTCAAATAGAATATTGAACATGTATGGGCGCGAAAATCCCCATAAAGAATCTTTATCATAATTCCGGTGACGTTTTACCAATTATTTCGAATTTTCATTGAATTTTCGAAAGTTTTCTGATGTTCTTCCTTCAAGAGGTGTAGTCGGTTGGGTTGGCGTCAATATTTGCGTCAATCGACCGTCAGGTGAAACGGTGGTTCGAGCCTCGAGCCGAACGATCGATTTTCACTGCCTACCTTCCAACCCGTGCTAAGAATCGCACGTTGAAAGGAAGGACCTCGTCATTCGTAGGGGGCGGCAGCTGGTGAACGGAAAAAAAATTTCAAATAAAATATTGAACATGTATGGGCGCGAAAATTAAAACTTGCTTGGAAGAAATCCAACAGTTCAATAAAGGAAAGTTGTTCTGAAATTTTCAGAAGTTATTCTGATAATGCCATTTATTTGATGGTTCAACTTAAAATTCATTCTCAGCGTCCTAAATAACCCGCAATTTCTTCAAAATAAACTCTCAAATGAACTCATAATGAATAAAAAATAAAGAAAGTCGCGAAATAGTAAGATTTTCTCCCAATTTTCCGTGACATAGGTAAACTTTCTGGTGAACTTGATTCTTGATAAGAGATACTAAAACCTACTAGAACCCATTTTGGTGACATAATTTCAATATTTCAAAGTAATAAAATACAATCCAACAAAATAGACCAAAATGGGATAATTTGGGAGTAAACGGAGGATCTCACCTCATTTCCCAGTGAAGAGTGATTTTTGGGGTATAGTCGAAGTAAACGATATTGTGCACTCTCAAAATTGTCGGCACTCTCGAAGGCCAAAAAAAACCAATACATATAAATGACTAGTCCACGTGAACTGTAGACTTGGTGATTCGTATTGGATAATTTTTACTAACCGAGTTTTATGATTGGCTGAGGAGTCATAAAATTACATTTGAAGTCATGTTACGGTGACGAATAGAAATCGGGGAATGCGGCCTTGGTTATCGCCGTCGTGTTCAGTTCAGGAACTGATCGCGATTTAAGTGTTGAAATTCGATATTGGTGCAGTTATAATTACTTGAAATTTTTGTTTGAAATGTGGCGTCCTTGGACAGGTACTACTATTAATAACGAGTGTGATAACAACGCAGACGTTTTCCAGTGAAGTGATTCCAATAGCGATGGTGAACAATGCGAAAAAGAGATACCAGTGAATAAGATTCGGATGCATTTGAATATTGAAACACAGAGAGTATGTTTCAATGTATATAAGAATATACATCTCAAGTTTGGTTTCGAGGGAAACAAACTATTACAAGCAGCATGAGATTTGACCGAAATTACTTTTTCAACTGTACGTAAAATAGTCAAAAACAAACCTTATGAACGCAAGACGCGGTGTGATACAGGATTACCAAAACCTTCAGATGTTACCCGCTCGATCCCCGGATCTCAATTCTCTCGATTTCTCTATTCGAAGCCATTCACAGCATTTGGTTTGTCGTACTCCTGTTCGCGATGTAGAGGACTTAAGAAACCGCATCATCGATGCGTGCAGGGTAATCAGAGAGACTCAAGGAATATTTGAGCGAATACGTGGCTCAATGCGCCGACGTCTAGACGCATGCGTAATGTCTGAAGGTAGACATATTGAACATCTACTATGATTTCTACATGTTGTGTGTTTTGTTATTGATAAATTAGTTTTGTTTATTACCCTTTAATCGTTTAATGCAGGTACTAACTACAAAATAACAATAAATCCAGTTCGCATTTATGACGATGTATCTCTGTAGTTGTTCGTAAAATAATTTTTTGCTGCGAACTGGTTTATTGTGGGCAAAAAACCCAGGAGACATTTTTTGTTTAGAATGAAACAGGCTATCGGAAATAAATTTTTAAATGGTAAACAAATAATAAGACAAAAAGTTACATTGGAAATAAATTTTAGGGGTTGCGTTTTCCACCCCTTACAACCATGGGGTAAACCAAATAAATTACTGGCTAAGCCTCTTTTTGGTAGTACAAAACGTCAGGTTAATTTCAATATTGTGACTTTTTCAGTGCTTGTGAAAAAAATTGTTATACAAATTTTATGTACCCCCTTTAAGGGGATGTATCTTAACAAGGAATGCTCCAATGAAGTTTCTTTATATGAAAGATCCTATCTTTTTTTCAATGAGGAATCACCTCCTTGAATGTTTTACACTTATTCAGTTACACCCTCTATTATTAAAAGGGGGTTGTTGGAAGGTAGGTTGCACTATATCGTTTACTTGAACTATACACCTACTAGAAAATTTCAAATTTTGAACGGATGAAAAAACTCTACTACCTGCTAAATGGTATTATTAAATTAGTCTACCCCTTTATTGGTTCTTTCCATTAGCAGATAAACTCTCTAAATGTAGCGAATCATTGAATGTTAGAAAACTTGAGTTTGGTAAAATTCAACTGTGGTTTCAAAGTAGATATAATTATTCTTTTCTCTTTCTGTTTGGTTACTAGTCGCAATCCACAAATGAAGAAACCGCCGAAGAAAATACCAAAGGATTGGGACTTATTTCGGCGGCACTATTTATAGCAGGAGAGATGGCAGGAAGTGGAATTTTAGCACTTCCACAAGCATTAGTGAATACAGGTCAGTTTTTAACACCTATCATATAAATGAAATTCAGCGGCAATTTTGTATGTATTGCTGAATCTAGGAAATCATTATTTATAATTTTTAGGGCCAGTGGGAGTAGTTCTTTTGCTACTTTTTTGTTTCAATGCCGCTTATGGGGGTATCAGGCTGGGCAACTGCTGGCAGATTGTTGAACAAAGATATCCCGAACACAGAATACCTACACGGAATCCATATTCTGTGATTGCTCTCAGGGCAATTGGAAAATTTGGTAGGTAAGTTTAGTATATTGCCACCAATAAAGCAACCTTTAGTAGTTTTTTTGGAATTGTTTTTCGATGACAATCCAGAATAGATTCCCAAATTTCTGATACCGCAGTTGTCGGTTGATTGGTCATACCACTAACACTGACATAAAAACTTGGCAATGTGACTTGGGTGTCCCACCAATAGTTGGGTTCAATTATGTCTCTCTTGCGTTTACACAGTTATTTTCATCAAGTACTTTTCTTGGTTATTCCCATTTTGTCTTTAATCGAGGACCGCCTGTCCGGTACTGACGATGCCCAATAGGCTGAAACAGCTGTCTACCGGTGGCTCTTAAATTGAAATCAATATGGGAATGATCAGAATAGTATTTTTTATCAATCTTTTGATTTTCATGGAATTATTTTCCAGCAGGTTGACTGCATTAATCTTTCTCGATTTCATATCATTTCTGGAAACATGTGGATTCGTTTTCCGATGGCATTCCAGGTTAGCTTACCAAATTTCTGCTACCGCAGTTGTCGGTTGATTGGTCAAACCACCAACACTGACATAGAAACTTGGCAAGTTGATGACTTGGGTGACACACCAATAGATGGTTCCACTTATGTCTCGCTAGGTTTACGCAGTTATTTTTATCAAATACTTTTCTTGGTTATTCACATTTTACCCCATGCAAAAATTCAGTTAGGAATAGCCATGACGAAACATTTTACCGATCGCGAAAGAATAGCACCTAAAGGCTGACTTTCGACCAAGAGAGGTCAGATGTCAATCTTGCTGAAGTGCCAATCAGTAAGTTGAGGACTTCTCGGAGAGCAGGGGTGGATGGAGTGGGGTAGTAGGTTTCTCCTCGCTAACTAGCCGGGGGGGGGAAGCTTCTACTTCAGGGCACTCAACCCGAGAGGGGGCATGGGGGGGGCACATTTTGTCCTCGAGGACCACCTGCCCGGTACTGACGATGCCCATTTGGCTGAAACAGCTGTCTCCGAAGGCTCTTAAATTGAAATCAATATAGAAATGATCAGAATAATATTTATCTATTGAATTTTTGACTTTCATAGAATTATTTTCCAGCAGCTTGACTGCATTAACCTCTCTCAAATATTTTCGGATAGGTTTCCGTGGTCAGTAGTATGTTGTCGTTGAGTTCGGGTTGAACCGCGTCTGGAGTTTTGTATTCGACGTTTCGGGTCCCATTTTGGAGCCATTTTCAAAAATTTTATGACTAATTTATGACTATAACCACTGACATATGTCATGTCAACTGTCTGTCAATCCTAACCAATATTTTATCCAACACTATATTTTATATAACCATCGTATGAAATATCCTCAACGAAGTTGTAAGTCTAACCATTCATTTATTTCTTAATATTACTTACACCCACAATTTTGTAGCTTCCCTGATGATAGAAACAATTTATTAAATTTCCGAAAGGTTGGACAAACTTTAAAGAGTACTCTTTCATTTGCTGCAAAGCCCCACAATTTGTTAGTTTCATTCCTAACTAGTCAGCAACGACTACCCTTTCGATGAGTCTACTTTAAACTGTAATATCTCAATGAATACTCATACAATTTATTCGAAATCGAAGTCATTTGAATCACTGCATTTTTGCCAATGTAACACAAGTCGAGTAAGTCCGTCAATATAAAACATGTGTGCTCGGGATCCGATAAGTCGATGAAGGCCGTTTTTGCCTGGTCCTGATTGGCTAAGGTTCTACCGATGAGAAAGTTATCGAACTACATGAAAAGATGGCAGTCGGTTAGTGAAAGGTCTGGGGAGTATGGTGGATGAGGCAGAACTTCGATGCTCAAGTCGTTAAAAATAATTGAAAAACTAGTGAAGAAAAGGCTCAATGAATTCCTTATTGCCCATGAAATCATCAAAGAAAATCATTTCGGATTCCAGGCTAAAAAGAACACCCAAGATGCAAATGTTTCCTTCCTGTATGAGGTATATTCAGATATAAATGCCGGAGATGTAGCTGCAGCAGTATTTTGTGACCTAAAGAAGGCTTTTGACTGTGTAGACCACAAAATACTTTTGGCGGAAACTACATTGCCACGGCTGTGAGGGAGTTACTTCGGATTGGTTCGACTCCTACCTAACTGGGAGCAGTCAAGTCGTAAAAAGTGATGTAACTTCAAAATATATTAATATAGATTATGGAGTGCCACAAGGATCAGTTTTGGGACCCACTCTTTTTCTTGTATATATAAATGATTTACTGTGTATAAATACTTCTGGAAAAATTACCTTATTTGCATACGACACCACCATTTTATGGCATAGTAAAACTGTTGAAGATCTGAATAATAAGATAATCAGAGACATAAATGTAACCAAGTCTTGGTGCGACTCAAATCTTCTCTCTTTCAATATAAAAAAAACAAATCAAATGTACTCTAGAAGATATGCCACTAGAAAATGAGAAGATTGAAAATAGAGATTGCACAACATTTTTGGGCCTTTATATTGACAGTCAATTGAAGTTTGAAGCCCACGTCAACCAATTGAAGAATAAAATCTCCTCAGGGTGCTATACAATGAGAATTATTTCAAAGGAACTTGGTACTGCCACGGCTATAAAGGCATATTATGCATTAATCGAATCTCAACTGAGATATGCCATTCCTTTCTGGGGGGTATGTAAGTTTTCAGAATACTGCAGCACTTTTATCAAGCTGACAAGTGGATTACATTCTTAACTTCTAATCACACTATTCATTGTTAAAAATTACCTTGAAAGCTAGACGTGTTCATGCCCAGCGATTCTGGGATTATGCACTGAAATTTTTATCAAATATCCTTTTTGCCTTTTGGATGATACCTATATTTGTCTATGATGTCACTTTTGGAAAGACAAAAATGCAAACAAATGGTAACAATACAGTGCATTTCTTTAACGCCCCCTCTTTTATTTTTTGAACGGGTCAACTCAAAAAATTGAAATTTGTGATAATGAAATCAATGCATGAATACTTTATTTTGAAGTGAAATTGACAAATGAAACTTTCAAAATGGCGACTGGGCTCCATCTGGGAAAAATATTAAATGGAAAGGGGGTCTTGTGACACATCATTTTTGAAGCTCCTGATAAATGCTTCACAAGCCTTGAATATAATGTCAATATCTTCAACTACTACAAAATGGCGGAACTTTTAATAATTGCCCGAATACATTGACAGTTAACTACATAATATGAGGTAATAAGCTTGTGGAGATAGGTAGGAATTGTAGGATGCATTGCTATGGTTTCCGTCATGATTTCGCAGAATTCTGTTCTTCGATCAGGGACATCTTCAGTTAATTGGTGTACCATTTAAATTTTGCATGGATGATACCTTTCCTCGTCAAAATTCTACACACAGTAGAAGTAGACACCTCACAAACATTCGCGACGGAATAGGTAGACTGTTCAGGATTTACTACCATCTCACCAGTTATTTGCACTTGCTATTCTTTCGGAATGGACGGATGACCTGGGGGCTTTTTGTTATGTACACTACAGGTAGTTGTGAATTTGGATACAAGTTCCTTCAAATTTTTTTTACAGATAGAACGATTCGGAAGTTACGCATCGCACCGTAAATAAAAATCGCTTCAATTTTTTTTTCCAAAGAACGAGAATTGACCATTTTAGAGATTGTTGACGTGGTACTTTTCTACTAGTAAAATCGAAAACTAAAAATGAGAATATTCTAACTGAACAATGATTGTTCATTGTCGTACTGATATTTTTTTGACGTTTTCAGAAAATAACTTAACAAATCTTATCGGGTTGTTGGAATGACCATGTGGCAGATAAAAAGGAATATTTTTTGAAATATCGATATTAATGTGTTTGTCTTCAGGAAATTATTAAATGTTCCGCCATTTTGTAGTCGGTGAAGATATTGACTTCATATTCTAGAGTTGTGAAGTATTCGTCAGGAGCTTCAAAATGATGTGTCACAAGACCCCCTTTCTAGTCAATTTTTTCCCAGATGGCGCCCAGTCGCCATCTTGAAAGTTTCATCTGTCAATGTCACTTCAAAATAAAGTATTCATGCATCAATTTCACTATTCCATATTTCAATTTTTTGAGTTGACCCGTTCAAGAAATGAAAGGGGGACATTAAAGAAATGCACTGTATGTATATATTTTCATCCAACAGCTATTGAGTAACATAACTATTTATTATTTATAGCTCCATCGTATCCATATGTGTGAGAATAACCCTTTTTGGCGCTGGAACCGTATATCTTCTATTATCTTCTCAAATTATTCAAGAGCTCCTGCTGGATGTATTTCCTGAAATGACTGAATGTGCTTACTTTCTGTTGATCGCCTTAAGTATTACACCTATGATATGGTTGAGCTCTCCAAAAGATTTCAGGTCAGTGAAAATAATATCCTATAGTAATTATTTATAATTATACTGATGGTATGTTCAATGGCTAGAAATTGTTTCATCAGTTTTTATGAAATATTTTATATGCTTTGGAGAAGAAAGGTTTTGGCTTTCTACTTCTTTATACAAAAAATGTGGAAAACTTTTAAAGAAAGGAAGAAAGCAATTCATTCCAAAAAAACTCTTCACGAAGATGTGTACTATATGGGCAGAAAAGTCTCGCGCCTAACACAGATGTGTACCAACCTTCATAGTCCAGTCATTTAAGATTTTATCTGCGGAAAAATTCCTACTGAGCTGAATTGTATACACCTTCACTATGGCGTTTTAATGAAGATGTCTAAAATCGACATTGATATCGTGCCGGCTAAAAAAGTTATAAGGGTCAAAAGGTCACGAAAATCAGTTTTTCGGGAATTTCTCGCGATCTATGACTCGGAGGTCAATAAAGGTCATTATGAAAATGATTCCTCATACGATTATCTACAAAAAATGTCTTCTGCATTTTTTTTGTAAAGTCAACCGTTTTCGGACTAGAGCGCTGAGAGTGTGACTACATTATGATGATGCACTCGTTTCCGCACCACCTTTGAGGTAGAATGCAAAGCACGTTTTTTTTACATGGTTTTCCCCGTAGGCATAATCCATGAACTGTAATGAAAGTTTTTTTTGAACATTGAAAAATAGGAAAACAAAATTTGTATATACTTTTCTTTTATATTCATTCGTCGTCGATATCCTCAATTTCAACTTCATCAAAAGTTGCTGACAAAACATCGAGTGGACTTAGTGCTGTATTTAAATCAACATCTTCATTATTTTCTTCACTAGTGGACTCTGCGTTTAAGCATGACTGACCACGACAATGTCCACAAGCTTTAGAGCATCTGAATCCAATTTTTTTACATCCACATTTGCCGTCACGACCTTTTGTACAATCACAAAAGATTGTGTTTAGTAGATCATCGGGTGCTGGTGGCAATAAAGTTGTTATTGGTTGTAATATATTATTTTTCAACTCCCAACCCCACTGTTTTGGATCATTTTTTTTTCCTAGCCAGGTTTGTATTTGATAATAGGCTCGATAAATATGCTGTTGAGCTGCTGAAGAAGTGGGTGGTAATAATTGAAATTTCACAGCTGTGCTTTGTCTTGTTAGTTTAGCAAAGCTGCAGTATCTGTAATTGTCAATTGAATTTTCTGATTTTGGAGCACCGTACATTGCTAGTAGAAAATGTATTCCAGCATTGACAAGGGCATCTTGAGCGCAATTTTTTTGTTAGAATATTTCTGCAGAATTGTGTAACTCGGGTCTTTTTTCAAACATTTTCATGACTTTAATTTTTCCTTTCCAAAAAAGTGTTGAAGTTGTGTCACATCCGGTCATAGCACGTAGAAAAAGAATATTTTTCTTGCAGTGTGGATACTTGTTGATGCTCTCAGTCGAGTATATTTTTGTTTCAACATTGTTTTTCCCTGGTTTCTTAAAAAAATGGATGTAGGTTGATTAAGTATTTGTGTGCGTGCTATGAGAAGTACCAATAGATCTATGTCTTCGCCAACGATAATTGTAGTATTATTTATTGATTTTTGAATTGCTGTTTCAACTATTAACTGTTAACGAAACCTCTGAAATATAAGTATATTTGGCACAAAACGCCCGAGTAGAAGTTAGAAGTTTAAAAAAAACTTAAATACATTGATAAAAAGCAATAAAGTCGACGCCTTATATGTATACGGTATACAATACCCTATGTGAGTGTATTCTACTCGCTTTCTCAGCGCTCTAGTCTGAAAACGGTTGACTTTACAGAAATACAAGAGATTTTTTTTAGGCGGCACGATGTCAATGATATTAATGATCGAAAAGTGAAGTTGCGCGAGTTAACTGACATTGTAAAGATATCAAAGAAAACATGTTGACTTTATATTGCATGAGCACTCGACTATGAAAAAGCTCTCTTCAAAGTGGGTGCCGCGCGAGCTCACTGTTGACCAAAAACAAGAACGTCTTGATGATTCTGAGCAGTGTTTGTCCATGTTTGAATATAACAAACCGGAATTTTCGCGTCGATATGTGACAGTGGATGAAACTTGGATCCATCTCTTCACTCCGGAATCAAAATGATCGTCATCTGAGTGGAGAGCAACTGGTGAACCTCTTGCAAAGCGCCCGAAAGCACAACAATCGACTGGAAAGGTTATGGCCTGGGTATTTTAGGTTGAGCTTGGTGTAATATTCATCGACTATCTTGATAAGAGAAATACCATCAACAGTGAATATTATATAGCGTTACTGGAGCGTTTGAGGGCCAAAATTGCAAAGAAACGACCGCATCCCAGATACCACAAATACGTCTTATGGACGTTTTTGAAACGTCCCGCTTGGACATTCAGGACATCCTCAAAATGTCCGTTTTACTGACGTGGACATATTATGGACGTCTTTGTAACGTCCATTGTTAATAATCAGGATGTCTTTAGGACGTCCATAATAGAAAATTTCAGGTCTTCGAATAGACATTTATAGAACGTCTTTAGGACGTCCATTTAGAACATTTCATGGACATAATCAGAAGCTCAAAAAGATATTCACAGGATGTTCTATTTATTTCCGTCATGCGCTTATATAGCCTAAAAATTATTAACTTTTTATTTATTAGGTCAGATTGCCTCGAGAAAATTAAGAAAATATTGAACATTTCAAAATATCTATTGCATATCTATTGCAAATAATAACATATAATAAATTATGTATTGAAACTTTTTCGTTGATTTTACGTCCTTCCCTTCCTTCACCCTTTTTAGCCATGCCGGCATCGACAGTTCCGTTTCCTCTCGTGATTTGGCCATGTTTGCCTTCTCAGATGAACCTGAAAATAATTCGAATTGCTTATTCAAAATGAATGGCAGATCAATATGAAAATCCAATCTGTATTTAAATTATTCAGTTCCTAGACAATCTGAAAGAATCTTAAAATTTGTTTCGGCTGAAGAGAATAGCCTTCTTTGATATGACTTATGACCTTGATGTTGGATAACTTCGCACACAGTTGGATTTACCTTTAAAACAAAAGTACAAAAGATGTTCAAAATGGCGACCATTTTCTGCAACACATAATGTCAGTCTTTTTTCAAACGAATTCTCTACACGTTCCAGCATATCCTCTGGAAAGCTCTAGTGATTCTTCGTTTCATGCCTTCTATAGATGTTGGAGGAGTTTGGAAGACAATCCATTTGATAAACCTCCATAAAAAATCCGTTTTGGGCTGGTCAGGTGATCTGGGACGCCATGCCACAGGCCCACCCCTACCTATCCATTTTTGATTGAAATGATCGTTAAGATATTCCCATACCAAAGTTTTGGAATGTGGTGGTGCACCGTCTGGTTGTAGCCACATCCCAATGAATTCGAAAAGTCATGCCAAACGAAGAAATCAAATATATATTTTTTCCAGTCGGATGCCCATTCAAAAATACGAACCATTAACTAAGTTTCCAAAAATTCCACCCCAAACATTCAGTGACGCTGTTGATGGTTCAGGCAACAAACAAAATGGGGGTTTTCCGTTACATAATGATGCATGTTATGCCGATTGATAGTTCCATTTTAATGAAAAGTCGAAATCGAAAAAACAATTTCCTGGTTGATCTTTTCTAAGCCGCATTGATAAAATTGAACACGTTTTTCAAAAACTCTTATTCTTAACTCTTGCATCAATTGCATGTGGTAAGGATGAAATTTGCTTGCTCATATCATTCGAGACACGCTGGTTTAAAAAAATTCCCATTCCCTGCTCAGGTCTCGCGTACTCACGTGGTAATTTTCAACAAGGTGAAGAGCAATTTTAAATGTATTCTCTTCATTTGTTACAGGGCAGATACCTTCGAACTTCTCGTTTTTGACATTACCAGTTCCTTCAAATATTGTTTTTAGAGCCTGAAATGCCCTTCCATCTGGTCAACTCCTTTCGGGGAACTTCTCTTTGTAAATCCTAGATGCAAGGCACTTTCCGTCATTTTCCTCCAAAACATGATCCAATCCACACGCAAAGCAAACTTTTGATGTCAGTCTGGATGACTGGGTTTTTGAAGATAAAAGCAGTATAGATATTCTTCAGATTTTTTACGCATTTCTTACCGTTGAAACCGCTAACTATCATTAGTAGGTATGAAAAATGTTAACCTACGTCTTCCCGGGTGGGGTATAGCTGTACCCCAGATACATATTTTTTGTTATAATTTTAAAATTAGCGCCCGTCCTGTTTGGCTAATTTTATTTTGTGTCGTTTGGGGTATTGCAAATAGTATACGGTTCATGAAATCGGCAACGATTTGTCGAATTGACAATGAATAAATTATGTTCAGCTTGGGGTACATTCGTACCCCGCGTGGGAATCTGTGCCATCTGTTTTATTGTTGTCCTCGACCTTATTGAACCACTTGGCTCTGGGTTTGGCATAACTACAGATACTTTTTTTACAAGCCTACCACTGACGGAAAAACTATCACAAAAAGGACTAAGTCTTTGTGGTACTTTGCGAAAAAATTAAGCATGTATTCCTAACGAGTTACTACCGAAATCGTTCAAGCCCATATATTCCAGCATGTTTGCTTATACAAAAGACCATACGGTTATTCTACTACCAACTGAACATCATGATGATGCTGTTGCTGATAAAACATTGAAAAACAAGCCAGATATTATACTGCATGATAATAATACAAAAGGTACAGTAGATACTACAGATAAGATGGTAAAACAATCTGCTCGAAGAATATGCAACCGTTGGCCAATGGCAGTGTTTGGGCAAATATTGAATATTTCTGGCCTTAATACTTACATCTTATAGGGTATCAAGTACCTGGAAACAACTAGAGGAAAAGACAATAGACGTTACTTTTTTCTAGATCTAGGAGAGGCTTTAGTAAAAGAAAATATTATCAGGCGATATAATGAGGGAATACGATTGAGTAAGACATTGAATCAGTACATGCAAGATGTCGTGCCAGAGTTGGCGCCGGTGAAGATGCAAATAGAAGCATCCTATGAAAGACCTTCAAGTGGACATTGCTATTTATGTTGTCGAAATAAAGATCGTAAATCAAGGCAATTTTGCAAGCAATGCAAAAGTTTTGTATGTGCTGAACATTATGTCAAGAAAGTAATTTGCATACAATGTCAAAAAATTTCAGACTAGTTTTTGGTCCAAGAATGTATTTTTCATTTTCATTTTGTTTAATTCAATGACAAACATTATATTTATGTTCGATATACTTTTTGATGTAATAAAATTGTGTAAATTGAAGATGTTAAATAATTTTCTTATAGTAAAAATTAAATACACCAATTTGTTTCTCTGGGGTACGAATGGACCCCACATGGGACTTCACGTAATTTTACCGACGTGGAAAGACGAAGGTTAATGTACTAGCGATTCTAGAATAACTTGGAAATCTCGCAATGGAAATTTGAAAACAAAAATTCCTTGAAAAAATTATGGAATCGAATGATGTATTCATATACTGGGTGTTCTATTTAAAAAAAAACTTTGGTTGGTCACGCTCGACTGAATCATTCAGTATGCGAGAAAATGATTTTGAAAAATAGTATTCATCGATATAACTGCAAAACAAAATTGAGCAGTTCGAAAAATTGTTTCCTCTGATAGCGATGGACCGAGGGAATCTTGTTGACTCACCCTGTACCTCTTTCAATGTTATATACCTTATTTAAAAAAAATATCTTCAAAGGAAGGATGAAGGTCCACTTCATCCACTTTTTCATCTTAAAATCATACCATAATCTGAGCTTCTCTTAACTCGAATTTGATAAACCTCACCTGACTTATTTAATCCTTCATTCCTTATAGAAAAAATATTTTTCCTATGCTCAATCTAATCCGACAAGGTCACCGAGATACTGATAATATGCCAATCCTGAATTGAAGTTGGAATTGTCTGATAAATGTCTTTTTCAATGACCACCAATCAATATTTATTAATGATGAAAGGAGAATTGAAACTTTCTATGTTTTTTACCATTTTTATTTGTAACTAACAGTACTGCAGTTTAGTCCTATAAGGACATTTTCAGTATAAGTTTGAAAATATCCTTATAGGATGAAACTGCAGTATTGTTACTTACAATGAAATGTGGTGAAAAACATAGAAAGGTTCAATTCTTCTTTCTTTATTATGATTTCCTACCACATTTCCTACCACGGCTACATCCATCAACATTTATTGAATAAGTATTTATCTTTTGATATGGAAACATCTATACTCGTACTTTTTCTTAGATTTGTAGGTTTGGGGGCAATTCTCACTACTGTTGGAGCTTGTCTGATTTTCTTGTTTCAAATAATAGTGGACGCTAAATCTGTCGATAGAGTTCCCAGAAAAATCCATGGTTTCCACGATTTTTTTATTTCATTCGGAACGATATTATTCGCCTTTGGAGGAGCATCAACGTTTCCCACAATCCAGAACGACATGAAGAATAAAAATAGTTTTTCGAAGAGTGTTACAATGGCTTTCATCGGTAAGAATGCATCACTTCAAAAATTATAATATGAGTTGAATGATTCATTTCTCTGTTTTTCCCTTTGAGGTGAAAATATTTTTCAATATTCCAAATAGTAGTACCTCACTTGAACAATAATAACTCCCAATTAACTTTATTTTCAGTAATAATGCTTCTCTACTTTCCCATTTCTTATGGAGGATATGCAGTTTACGGAGAGGGAGTCAATACAAATTTGGCATTATCTCTAACAAAAAGTAGATTAATTGATATTGGAAATATCCTCATGGCTATTCATTTAATTTTCGCCTTTTTGATAGTCATGAATCCAGTATTTCAGGATGTGGAAGAATCTTTTAATATGTCTAAAAGTAAGTACCTAGTCGCATGACACATCTGCAACGACTTCATCTTTTAAATAGAATAGTTACAGAACACTCTTTGAAAAATACGGCAAGAATATCAAAAAGCATATCTTATCGCAAAAACTCGTGACACTGAGTTTACTGTCGGGTTCGTATTTGAAGAAATGTTCGGAAATAAAAGATTGTGTGAATTTTGAAATAAAATGTATATCAAGAAGGGTACCTCAAGGCTCTATTTTGGCACCCCTTCTATTTTTGGTTTTTATAAATGATCTTCCGGAATTTTGTTCAAAGCTTCCATTGCTGTTATTTTTGCGGAAGATACTAACATCTTAGTTTCTGCGGGAACTATGGCCTGAGTAATTGTCAAAGCTAATGAAGTAACCGATCAAATTTCTGAGTGGTGTTCTATAAATGACCTGCTGCTTATTTCTACTGAATATCAAATGCTCAACTTTGTTACTAAAAATACAACAATTGATAAAAGCTATTTGGTTAGATGAAATAATGTAACTTTACATCAAGTTAAGTGTACTAAATTCTTAGGTGATGATATTGATAATAAACTTACCTGGAAGTTCCATGTTGATAGTGTCAAACTAAAGCTCAGTTAACATATATATTTACCTACTACGTCGGTTAAAACAAACAGTCTCTCTTGATGTTCTCAAGCTTTTATACCACAGTTTAATTCAGTCAGTAATTTCCTATGGTTTGGAACAGAGGGGCTTATCAGCTAGAGCTGATGAAGTTTTCGTTATTCAGAAAAAGGTAATCAGAATTCTGGCTGGAGCATCTTTGAGTGAACACTGCAGGCCATTATACATTCGTTATAGTTTATTAACAATGCCTAGTTTTTATATCTATCGAACATTGGTATATATAAAAAACAATGTTTCAGTTATTCCTAGAAATGAACAAATCCATGAACATTTCACCAGAAATAACTCTCACTCTCAACTACAACAACCTTATAGTAGATTGACAGTATCAAAGAATCACCCCGTGTGCATTAGGGTTAAGCTATTTAATAAGCTTAGTGCTTAAAAGGCTTAAAAGCTTAAAAGGCGACTCAAGATTTTTCTATTGCAAAAAGCATACTATTCTATGGATGAGTTTCTCCTTGAATCCTAATTTGAATGTAGCTTATTAACTTTTTTTTATGTATGTTTTATATTGACTTTTTTATGTTTGTTTGACCTGTTCAATCAGCCAGTATTTCATAATGATGTCATGTTTTTTTTGTCTAATGTGATTTTGAAGAAGAACTGATTCAATAAATGATTGATTGATTGATTGTGCATATTTTTGAAAGTTTGACATCAATACGAGAGCATCTGTATAACAACCCGATTCTCTTTCAGGGTGCCAAGTATAAAATTCAACACCGTTAGGGGTATATATTAAGGGTATATAATTGATTTGTTAATTTCCATGGCTTCCAACAGATTGATTTTCTTCCCTTTAATACATATGTGTAGGATAACCTCAAAATCCTACACATATGTAATAAAGGGGACACTTGACTGTGTCTGTCGATATGCTCGAAGCTAGCGTTTATATATCGTAATCGAATGCAGTAGAAATTTCGCCGAAGTTCAATCGAAATCGGTAGCATTATTCTCACTGCTTCCAGAGTGGCACGGAACATCGTATATTCGCGCGTTCCTAGCTACGTCGCGATTGGTTATAGCTACCAGTGGCGGCCGGCTTTATTTTCTTTAGGGCATGATTTGTAACAATATTTTTATTCAAATATTTTATATAAACTCCACCGTTAAACTAATCAGATACTCTGTTATTTCACAAATTACATGCAACCCTCAATTCAAATTTTCCAATAGTGAAATAGATATATTTTTTGAATATCACATTATGAAAACCAGACAATTTTCAGAAAGGTATTTTTTATTACCTATTGGTTGAAAATAACTTTACTTTCTCTGAAGGAATAATTCCACAGATTTAAAATCAACTCCCAGAAAAATAGGTACCTAAACTATCGAATGCGTGATAAAAACATTAACCTGCGAGACTAACCTCTGTGAGGAATCTTGCACAAATGTCTATCGGATATAATTCAATATCCAGCGTGGTATTAACCGAGGAAGTAGTTGTTTTCCAGAAGACGTTTACCACACCCTACTTTGTAGGCAGTTAAAGGAGATTAATATTTTGAAATTTATTTCATAATATTTATAATTCTATAAAGTTGTTGAAATAAATATCAATGGTACTCCTATTGAAATTAGTTTTATATTTTGATCATAAAACAACATACAGGGCAATGATTTCGCAAATCCAAATAAGTGTCAATTACATCTACACCCCCAGAGCAAATGGCAATATAATGTTGGTAAATATCTTCCAAATACATACATTATAAGAAAACGTATTTTGGCTTTCTATTTCTCCATCAATAAACAAAAATGTGAAAACATTCTAAAGAAAGGGAGAAAAAACATTTAATTAAATCACTTTGTATGTGATATTCTTAGAACAATTTGTATCACTCTTAATATTTCTCCATCAATATCAATTAATGTTCTGATTCAGATTTCAGTTTGAAGAGATGCTTTTGGAGATCCATGATCATGGCGATGGTAATTCTGGTGGGAGAAACAGTCCCTCAATTTGGAAAAATCCTCTCACTAATTGGTGGATCTACTATAACACTGTTGACATTCGTTTTTCCACCTTATTTCTACATGAAATTATCTGATATGGAAAGTCAAGATTGGCCGAGAAGGTATGAGAATCCTTCATTTAGAACTAAACGTGCATATTTTTTCGGTTTTTTAAATTTTCGATAACCAGTTTGCTTGATATTGCTAAGACCTTTTACCGAGTGTGGCATGATAATAATAATAATATTTATTCATCATTTAGGTTAAGTTGAAAAACAGCATAAGCTGAACTTCGCCTTTCATCGATTGTTTCACTGTGTTTAATTTGTAATTATTCTATGAATGAAGCCGATCATTATTATTATTATTATTTGTGATACATAGCGTATATATGGTAGGTCAGTGATTAATTACAAAGAACAGTAAACTCGCCATGTTCGTTATGTACAATTCAAGGTTCCAGTGCATAAAAATGACACATTTCATTATATAAATTGCGGGTGCAGTCAACAAGCGTTCCAATTTTGAAAACGGGTCTACAACTTTCCTGGTACCCCAGGTTTAATATCAATCTTATCAGTCGTTTTTGAGAGATGAAAACTCTGGAAAATTCCTTTGCACATCCCCAAGCCATTATGTTGAAACTGATGTGGGAGTAAGCATTCGCAAAGTAAACATTTAGTAAACCAAACCTATCTAGATAATGTTTTAACTGTTTGATCGAATAATAAGCGGAATTGAGTTTACTGCACACTTTTTGTATGTGACTTCTCCAGGTGAGATTCTCATCTAAAATAGTTCCAAGAAAATCAACTTCTTTCGATATTTTTATGTCATTCAAAGTGACCAAATTACAACAGAAATCCCTCCCAACAAATGTTTTCATCAGCACTGACTTAGATTTATTTTAAATCAGTTTGTTACGTTGACACCAACTACTGAATTCGTCAAAAACTAAATTAATTTTCATCGATAATTCATTCTCATTTTTTCCAGAAACAGTGATTGTAGTATCGTCAGCGTACATAGTTATGTGACAATCTGATATGAATTCAGGCAAGTCATTGATAAAAGTCAAGAATAACAATGGACCCAGAACAGACCCTTGTGGAACAACTAGTTTCACATCATAAGGAACTGATGTAATTCCATTACATTTAACCATCAAACTACGATTTTCCATGCACGATTCTATCCAACACAACATATTATTGGGAAAGCCCATTACTAGTAATTTTTTCAATAGAAATTTGGAAGAAACAGTATCGAATGCTTTTGATAGGTCTAAAAAAAATGAAAAAACCAGGTTATTATTATCCACTTGTGCATAAATATAGTTCAGTAGTAAAACCATGTTGCATGAGGGTTTGCTGGCCAAACTTTGATGCTATGGCTTGTCGGATCATTTTCATGTATGGCTTTCCAGTTTCCTAAAAGAACGTTCCCTGCAAGTGGCCGTGGACGGATATTTCTCGAACACTTTTACCATCAACGCTGGTGTTTCCCAGGGATCCATATTGTCTCCAACCCTTTTTTTATATAAATGACTTATTGGAAAAAACCAAGAACCCAATATATTGCTTTGCTGATGCCAGTACACTTTTCTGATCATTCCATTTGGATTCCACGACACCAATATGTCTTGGCACGATCATGTCGCTGGAATTGCCAAGACTGCTTCTCGAAAGTTTGGAACACTGTTCCGAACCAGAAAACCGTATACAGCGACTTTAGTGCTTCATAGGCTCACTTGCAACCTTGATAGTCTGGAACATCGAAGGAAGGTTTGAGATTAGTCTCTCTTTTATAGATACTTCAACAGGAGGTATTCAAGTGACTTGGCATGTTTGATTCCACCAAGAGCGGCACATATCAGAAATGCGCGACGGACTGTGGCTGCTCATCGTTTTGAAGTTCAACTCGGTACACCTCTAACTTCACTGTTTGGGAACCCCTTCATTTGAAGAACTGCGTTTATGTGGAATGAACTTCCTGAGAACATTTTTCCAACTGAAATTAATCTTCAGCGATTCAAATCCAACAAGAATCGCTACTTTTGCTCAGGCACCGCTCTTGGTGCGCTTCAAGGATTTTCCTGTAGTGCTTGTGCTTTGTCCTTAAAAAAAAGTTGAATACTCAGAACGTCTTCATGGGGATATTTTTCTTAAATTCACTCTTTTATGACTATCCCTCAATGTATTTGTGAGAGAGTCTCAACAGAACTATTAATCAAACTACACAGTATGTCCGTTCCAAAAGTTTGGAACCATTCCATACCATTTTTTATTCATCTTGTATATTATTTGTTTCAGAATTATTCCATTATATGAACGAGTCTACATTTGGGAACTGATTGCCATTGGTGTTATTGGAGGTGGCGCTTGTACGTTTAGTGCCGTCAATGCCATATTTGGATCAAACTCATTATCAAGGCCATGCTACTGGAGGTGATAGTTTAATTTTAAAGAATAGATAATTTATAGTTGAGTTTTGAAAAGACTGTTTTTGTAATTTTGAAATCAATGAGTAGGATTCAATAAAGAGACAATGTATCTTTTTTCCCCATTTACCATCAATTACGTGGTCATAACGAGGATGTTACATGAGTTTCCAGAGGCCGTTTATTCTGAAAACTGCGAAAATATGCCACGGAATTATTCATTGTATCCAAAGAATATATATCAAAGTCTACTAAACGTCCTATGCCTCCTAGCTAGACTTTTTTGAGGATATTTGTAAGATATTCTTTGATTGCCAATGATATATTTGTTAAGAAAAGATCACTTCGGACTATTTCACAATATTTGCCAACAACTCATTATTGATGAAATTAACTTTGATTCGCTTGGTTTCGTTTTGATACTAATCGAAAACGAGATTTCAGAATGACCGAGTGGAGTGAAGCGTATATTGGCAGCTGTAAAACTATACGGAAAGAATTTTGTATGATGGAGATGATTTTTCTGAAATAAGAACAGGATGGATTCAACAACTGAATCCTCATGTACGCCAGAGGTTATAACAAATGATATACCGCATTTCATCAACCATCAAATTCACTGAGCATCCATGCCTGAATGAGTCCATACATGGGGGGTCTATAACGACAGTCGTCACTCACTGCATATAGACTTGTGCACATTGCCAATTGCACAAATCAATTTAATGCAGACTGTTGGTTAACACTGGAAGTCACAGCATCCTGGAAATAACCTCTGACTTTATGCCTACAACTGTCAATTACGAACTTCCTTATAAAGTACTGTTCTCGACTAGAGAGGATTGGATTCTCCGGGAGAAGGAAATAGTAAAAGCAGATAGTTGTTGGTTCACAGATGGATCAAAAACACCTTCTGGTTCTGGTGCAGGTGTTTTCAGTCGCAGACCCAGGACAGAGATATAAACATACCTAGGAATGTATGCGACTGTATTTAGATCGGAAATTCACACTACTGAATCATGTGCGAAGAGATTGGAAGAATCCAACCTCGAACACAAGTCAATAAAATATTATTGGACAGTCAAGCGGCGTTGGACGCTCTTGGCTCCTACCGAGCAACGTCTAAATTGGTAGCAAATAACCAAAAACGACTCTTCTCGATAGGAAGATTTAACAGATTGTCTCTGGTTTGGATTCCTGGCCATACTGGCCTGGAAGGCAATGAAGCTGCTGACTCCCTTTCAAATGAGGGTGCTGCATCGGACCAGAACCTGTCATTGGCATCGCTTTAGGCTTTGCCAAACAAAGATTGAACACCTGAATGGCAAGAAGTTTTATGTACTTCTGGCAGAATCTTCCAGGATTGGCTCACTCCAAGGCATTTATTTACCCTTCGAAGCTTGATACCAAACAGTTGTTGGACTTACAGTAGGGATGAACTACGATGTCTAACAGGCAATCTTACAGGTCACTGTCAATTGAATCATCAGATGTAGACACTTGGACTGTCGGAAGACAGTGTGTGTCGCCTCTGTTTGGAAAATGATGAAACAGCAGAGCACATACTTTGTACCTGCCCTGCTGGGCAGGTACTTTTACCATCTGACCTGAAAGACTACTCACTATACAAACTAATCGGCTTCGTTAAGAAGCTGGGTTTATTTGGTCGAGTGTGAATAGGTGTGAGCCACAATAAACCCTTACAGGATGCGGTGGAGGGTCGAATAGACACACTCACTTTGGGCTTAACTTTACCTAACCTACTGATAAATATGTCGCTAAGAGTTGAAACACGACATTTACTGTGCCAGCAAATGGTTTTCTGATTGCCTTCTGAGTGTGACTGTGAATGGCTTCGTTTTCGTAGGGATCTCATCGAAGTGGCTACAGTTGACGAACAGAGCTCATTGCATGCGCATTTTTAAAGTTAAATATAGCAAAAACGGGAAAATCCAATTGTAAAGATATGACTCTATACAAAGATATGTAGTTTATTCAAAGAAGTAAGTTTCAGAAACAAACTGTATAAAGATGGTGAAGTAGAAAGTCAAAACTATTATTTCCTAAAACCTGATCTCTCCTAAAAATATACACATTTCAATTCCAATGGTAGAAACATTCTTCCACCAGTTTATTATGGAACTAATCGCCAACTCATTGTGGGGACTCTCCCAGCAAGGATCAACTATGTAGAATGATGAAGTGATCAACGGGATGATTGAGGAGTTCATAAACATAGAATAGAATAGAATAGAATAGAATAGAAGTTTATTCATCACTAAAGTTCACATGTACAACATAAAAAAAGTGTAAATACATGAAACTTATTGGACTAGTCACAAAGAGAGCTTAAAAGTAATTAAAATTCACAAGATTATACATATACATTTTTGATAAGTAAAATATTAAAATATACATAAGGTGGACAAATGAATTAAAGAGCCTCGAAGTTAGAAATAATTATCTCTAGAGAATAGTACGCTGTGTGAATAATCGCTTCGAGGCCATGTTTATCATATACACGGATACTGAATATATGGACTATTCGTCAGCGTTCGTCAGACGAATTCCGATGAAATCGAAATTCATTAGGGTTGTAATGAGAATGCTGATAACTGAGGTAGTGGACAGACTTTCTAGGAATGAGGTTTGGGATGTGATGAGATTGAGAGATCTACTCCACAATTTCTCTAAAACTTGACATATTTGCTCTCCCAGATATGTAACCTTGTGGCAATTTCCCTCTCGAATACTTACTATATTGAACTTGGCTAATTTTAATTAATACATATCATTCAGAAGAAGAAGTAGTTGTTAGGTTATGTAGTTGACACTGACAGTTCGATTGGGAGATGGGAGTTTAATTTTTGTGATATTGAAAAACAAAAGTTTTTTCATCAATTAATGAAGTGAATATGAACATAAACGTTATACTCCCCTAAGGAATAATTTCAGACTTGGAAATGTCTGATCATCAAATAGAACTTTCTGTTCAGGAAACAGGTAGGTTTTGAAAAAAAACTATGAGATATTTTACTGATAAGATTTTCCCTAAATATGTTCATGAAACTTCTGAATTTTGGAGATAATAAGGAAATGAAATACTTCGTTAGAATCCCGTAACAATCTCAATTTATCAATAGCTGAGGAAATTTACAAACATTTTCAAAATACTTTTGAACCCAATCTTTTTCAATAAATTTAAATTCTTTTTGCAGATGTCATATCCAACGATTCTGATATTGAATGTTCCCAGAGTGTCTGCTCAGATACCCATAGTGACAACACTTCAGCTTCCGGATTAACAGAAAAAAGTATTGTATCTGACTCCACTATTCATGCTCTAACAGGGGGTAGCGAAGGTGACAATTCTGCAAGTCATTCAGCAACATCCCCAGGTGATTATTTTTATTTAGCAATTATTCATTGGAACAACCTCTTTAAGTCTACACGATACATGTCAACTAAGGAAAATTGTGGTCTTACCCGTCAACTTGCTGTGAAATGAGAGAAAATTTAATATTTCTATCATTTATTGAATTCCATAGATATTGCAGACAATTTAGTCATCTTAGTCTAGAGCAGATAGAATGATATCCAAGAAAAAAATCTTAATTTTCCTTTAATAATGACATTTGTTGTATAGGTTCAGCTAAAGTTTACACTAATATTAAACAACTAAGAAATAAACTAAAAATAAGTACACAATACAACACTTCAAAATGTATGATGAGTAGATATTGTGTTGGAATTATCTCCACTTTCCCTCATTGAAAATTCAAAGCTATAATAGATAGATTACAGAATTTTTCAGGTTGTATGTTGAACCATTTTTATATCATTATTTTGAGGTCTTTTAGGTATTACCTGTATAATGAGTATATTATGTATGAGTCGTATATGATAACTATGAATTTCTTGCTTCTATTATCATTTTTTATTCATAATTCTTTTTGTATGAAACTCTAAAATGCACCTCCCTATTGACAAGAAAAAATGATATTTTGAACAAGAGAGCAGTGAAGCATATCACTGTGAAAAAAGCTTTCAGCTGAGGCCTAACGCAATTGAATCCTCTGCTGTAAAAAAAAGATAGGAAGTCTGCAACAACAAAGCGCCATTTTGTAACGTCCCCCGTTGCAGACCAATGAAAAAACGTTAAAAATTTGACCCTGCTTCCAACTGTACATTTGTTGAGAATGAGAGAGATGTGAGCTGAAATATAATGTTTACATAAAACTGGAGAATTTCAACGATTTGTACAAAAAAAGTTTATTGCAGCCAATGTTACAAATTGATGTTCGAAAATTCTACATCCAGCTCAAAGGACCAACTTAATAGCGAGAAATATTCGGTGGATTGTATGAATTTAAGAAATGCTCATAAAAGCTATTTAATTTCTGCTTCAGCATGAAAGTCCTAGAGACTGGAATCTCATTATCGACTTTTTAAACACATTATTTTTCTCGATGGATAATATGATGTAATTGTTTTTTTTCTTCTATCAATTAAAAATTCATTCACTATTCTTCATTTCCAGCATGATCTGAGAATTGTTAATCTAGCATAAACAATGTTATATCTTTTAATATTTCATCCGTTTTTCCTCATCTTTTTGGACGATAGTCGTCTCTCTAGGAGCTGAAAACCACGACAAATATCGTCTTGCTCTGGTGGTCGAGAAGGACTACATCAGGCTTATTAGCTTGTATGAGCCTAAGGGTGGGGAATGAATAGTTCCAATAAATTCGGCACTTCTCGTTCCCCACAACAGGTTCAATATCCCCCGGAGCGTAGGGCAACACCGTTGTCTTGTCAATACCGTAAGAGTAAGGAAGTATAACCGTGGAACGGACGATTTGGGATGCAAACTCTTATAAGAAGCCTCATTTTTCGGGTCTTTACGTCAAGTTGATACAGCTCTTCTTGAGTCCACTTCACGACTCCAAATGAGTAGAGTAAGATTAGAAAGGCAGGCATATTTGTTGCAGCAACTTTGTTCTTCCCCGACAGTTCCTATGACTGGATCTGTCGAAGTTTGTGCTTATACTTGCTGCGGAGAGAGTTCTTCACTGCTGTTACCTCCTGTGAGTGGCGTTTTTCCACCCCAAAGTAAGTATACGTCTCTCCGGCATCCAAATGGTGTAGGATGCTTCCATCTACGAGCTGCACATCCTCTCCGTAGTCCCCGCATCGTTCTCAAGGACTGATGGAGATCCTTCTCTCCAGAGGCATAAAGTTTAAGATCATCATGGCAATAGTGAGATGCAGGAGAGAAGGGGACTGAGGGAATCGCCCTGAAATACACCCCTTTTGAAAGTGACCCATCCTATTTGGACTCTGGCTTGACTAGATGTTATTGTCAAATGAGTTCGCCTAAGTGGCATCAGTTGTTCAATGCATCTCACTATTTTGTTGTGTACCCCAAGACATCTGACCAAATGCAAGATGAGCTCATGCGATATTGTATCAAATGCCTTACGGTAATCGATCCAGGCCATAGAGAGGTTACGCTTATATTGTATCGAGTCTTGCGTTACACATCTACAATTATTATTATTATTATTGTTATTGTTATTATTATGATAGTGAAGCACCATTTCAAAGTACCAATGGTTGAACAATTAATTTTATATTGATAATATAGCGAGTTCTTATACAGTACAAAATTTAAATTTGTAAAACAATTTTTAAACATAAATTTACTGGAGATCCTTCCTTTTTTTTTATACACTATCAGATGAGTTATGGAGTTTTATCACTCCTATCTACCTAAATGCCTACAGGAAAACAACTACTTCCCCGGCTAATACCACGCTGGATATTTTAATTGTTATTTGCTGAACTTATAATTATATGAAATCAATAATGAAGATTGATATTTCAAATAAGAGTATGCACAAATTCTGAACACAAAAAGTAACGAAATTTTGAAGAAAGATTTATCATTTCAAAAATTTCATTCAGAATCTGCCTTCAAGTATTATATTGTCATAAGATAAGTAAGTAAATGAAAGGTAAAATTAACAACTTCCTGCCGACGTAATTTTCCTAGAAAAACAATATTTATTAGAGGGATTTTTATCTTTTTGATAGGATTTCAATTCCATATATTACTACAAATTCGATTCTCCTTATCTCTCACTTTAAAATGTTTTGATATGTCATGTGTTGATTATGAATAACATTACAGGACTTGAAAGCAGATCAAATTTTACAGCAGTTGGCAACAGGGGAATATTATTACCATGGGGTGCCCAGAAAGAGAGAGTTTCATATTCTGGACAACATATGGAGTTGGATATGAGGCCAGGCGAATTTGTGATGAGAAATTTATTTGCGGACTTCACCGTCTTGGCCGAGAAAAAAATCGAATCTGTGATGACTGAACCACAGGTAACTGTTATTATTTTTCTTTATTTACTTTTCAACAGAGAAGCCAATATTATATTAAACGATTTGAATCTGATGAATATCGGCCAATTAACACTTTAGCTTGCGCTGAAAAACTGTTAGAATCAATAGTATATCAACAACTGTTGGAATATTTCAATTAAAAAAATATACTATTCACAAACCAATCTGGTTTTAGATCCAGATATTCATGCGAATCCGCACTGTACACTGTAGAAGAATTTTTAGATCTTAAATGTGCGTTGGAAACGCACATTTAAGGGCCATTGCTGATCTTAATTTACATTAACTTTATCAGCAAATGTAATGAATGTGATTATTAGCATAATTTTGCTGATGATGCCATAGTATCTGTTAGTGATTGAGATATAGATAAAGCTTTTCAAAAAATGAATGAAGAATTGAATGATATTTCTATATATTTAAATAGTAGATAAATGTAGTAAATGTAGATTGTAGATAAATGTCAACAAAACAAAGGCTATGATACTTACTACAACTTTTTAGTACAGAGAATTAAATTTAAATCAAATTGAAATACAAATAGAAAATGACAAAATTGAGCTCATTACTATTCCATTGTCTAATATGATATAAATTGATTTGCAATATCTGAAAGAATCTGTAAGAGATTAAAAAGGTCAGCTGAAAAAATAACAATTATAGTAAGCAAAAAAACTGAAATTACAATGAAATGAAATACAAGCAACAACCAAAAAATAAAAAAAAGAACAATTAACACGAGATGAAAATTAAAAAAGTAATGACAAGAAATGAAAACTAAAAATTAAAAGATTCCAAACCATGTTACGTTTCGAATGTTAGTATCCACAATCGTCTTCGGGTGATAACTGGACTTATTCCTCAGAGATCTGACAATTTATAGGTCATTTAAGTGCTTTCACCTATCCCCTCTTCCCACTCTCCGCTTTATCGGTTTTAGCGGGAGCTGACCATTTGGCGGGTGTTGGTCGTGTTCCCCTTGATTAGAGGTTTCCATATGTTGCGTATCTCTAGTCTAGCTTGGTTAAATGTGTTGTTGGACAACATATATGTGGTATCTTTGAATTTTCTCCTAAACCAGTGTTCCTTCTTGTGAATGATTCCAGCTTGAGCCCACTCGATGTTATGTTGATAAGTCCAAACATGCTCTGCTATTCCTGATTTGCTGGTTTCATTTTGATTGACAACGTAAGTCCTTCCATCAATTTCACAATGGAGAAGGAAAACCACAACGAATTTCCATTCTTAGACGTATTGGTGAAGAGAACCGACACTAAATGGGAAACATCTGTATATGGAAAACCCACTCACACAGGACAGTTTCTGAACCAGGAATCCAACCACCATCAATCGACTAAGAGAGGAATCATCAAGACTCTACTATATAGACCGTGCTTTCGGACTCTGTAATACAAAGGAAGGCCTTGAAAAGGAACTAGGCATCATCAAAAATGACCTTAACGGAATGGTTACTCCAAAGTGATGGTGGAACAGCCTTCAGGAATAGCAGAGTATGTTTGGACTCATCAACATAACATCAAGTGGACTCAAGCTGAAATCATCCACAAGGAGGAACACTGGTTTGGGAGAAAATTCAAAGAAGCCGCATATATGTTGTCCAACAACGCATTTAGCCAAGCTAGCGTAGAGATACGCAACATATGGAAACCTCTAATCAAGCGGGACACGACCAACTCCCGCCAAATGGTCAGCT